TCGTACACATTCTTGCAGTCTCGTTGTAAAACTGCTCATAGCATTTTTCATCATTTTTAGTGGTACTGCGGTCACTTCACCTTTCTTTTAATGCCTGGATAGTTATTATAGCGTGGTGTAAACAAAACGACAAATGGACAATACCTTCCTTATTTTGGTAATACGCAAGAAAAAGCAACTTCGCACTATCTATATTCAAAACATTGACGGCCCTAACCCACCTATCCTACCTCTACCTTTTTTGTAATGCCATTCCCAAACAGGCCCGACTCACCCTGTAAGACAAACAAGGAATGTTCATTTTCTTTTTTTTTTTTCACTTATTATGTGTACAAATAAAATATTTAGTATGTTATTAGCTAAGTGCAAATTATGTAATATATTGTTTTTAACAAATTTTTTATTTCTAGTACTGGTTAGATTTGCAAAAACCTGTGTCCAGACAGTTGGGTCTTTCGCTTGTTGACCCTTTGCTTCACTTTTGTGTAAAATTTTATACACCTGATCCCAGCCAATTAGAGGAAGAGTACACTAGATACTTATTTTGTTTACAAGTTAAACGGGATCTTGCGCAGGGTCACCTACAGTGTAATGACAACACAGCTGCTCTTATGGCCAGTTATATCGTACAAGCCGAATGCGGAGATTTTGTAGCAGAAGACTATCCTGATCATACCTACTTGACCAGTTATAAGTTTGTCCCCCATCAAGACCAAGAAATTGAGAGGAAAATAATGGAAAATCATAAAAAGCACATGTAACTTTTCATTATTTATTTATAAGTGTAACGCTTTCTTTTTCTCCTCTAAAAACTACTTAGTGCAAAAGACGAATAAGAATTGCCCAAAACTTGCTTCTTAATCTTAATAGTTATGCATTTTTTTTTATATAATACGTAAAGTATAGTTTGTTAATGGAATGTACGCATATCCAGTATGACTAGATTCCGCTCGAAAAGCTTTTTTAAACCATTTATGATTTTTGTAGCTTTAGTTAACTTTTTAACTAGAATAATTAATAATATAATATGTTGAAATATATCTACTGTTACGCCGAAAGAGCTCGCTGCAGAAGTTTTTTAATGTAATGTCCTACGAAATAATCAGTAGGTTTCTCCCTGGGGACGCGCTCTTTAGGATACAGGTTTCCTCAAAACGATAAATTTTGTACTTATACACTATGTCTGATCACTATTCCGGAATATTAAAAATGTAACATCTGGAGGCACTGTAGAGTACATATTGTGATGGCACCACACCGTAGCGGATGTAAAAAGTATGCGTAAAAAGTACTCCAGTTGACGAGCCGCCAATGATTGAAAACAGTTAACAATTTTACAGCTGCGGTATCTTATCGTCTTTCGTTATCGTAAGCGTCTACTGACGAAACACATATACCTATTCGTGACCTTCGCAATAGCTGATTGTTCGTAATGATGAGTAATAATCGGAACTTGTTAGCGTTCGATCGGCGAAGTATTACCCAGTATTACCATAAAATACAAAAATAATCAAATATATAAAAATATCAAACAAAAACCAATGTATTCACATGAAGAATATGCGGATATGATGTGATCACACATGGAGGGTGCAATGGGGATGCTCTGGCAGTATCACGCGACAAGCGTCATCGTTGTCCTTGCCGGAGCGGTTAGGACTTTCGGTAAGGTCATAATCCTCATATTTAAGTATATCACTGAGTGATTAATTTTTCCGGAGTTCTGATGAGACCTAGTGTATAAAAAACTAATTCAGCGTTTTTATACATGTTAGATGTGTAGTTTCAAGTGCCTTTTAACTATAAATGATTATAATTGTCCTTTTTCAGAGGTCAATCTCCAGGAGAAGCTGACCTAAACCTCCTAGAAACTGCTCGTAGATGTGAACTTTATGGCATAAAAATGCATCCCACTAAAGATCAGGAGAATGTGCCTCTTAATTTGGCTGTGGCACATATGGGTATTATTGTTTTTCAACATTACACAAAAATAAATACCTTTTCATGGGCAAAAATACGCAAAATTAGTTTCAAAAGGAAAAAGTTTCTTATAAAATTACACCCAGAAGGATATGTACGTTTCTGTTTTTATATTCTATACAGTAAAGTAATTTCTGTCAATATCTCTTGTTAATAGGGATATTATAAAGACACCGTAGAATTTTTTTTCGAAAGCAGGAACGAATGCAAGAATTTTTGGAAAAAGTGTGTGGAAAATCATGGTTTCTTTAGATGTTCATCAGTAAAAACTGTTCCCAGGCATAAGACGAGAGTTCTTTCTAGAGGTAGTTCATTTAGGTACGTTTTGATTTTTCTTTATATACTTTTAATGTTTTATGATATTATGAGTAGATTTTTGTTTTAGGTATAGTGGAAAGACCCAAAAGCAAATAGTTGAATTTGTGAGAGATAATTACGTAAAAAGACAGGCATTTCAGAGGTAATATATTTTCTTACTCTGTATGTATAAATAACCATGTGCATGTTTTATTGACTTGACAAACATGAGCTGATATTTAAATGGCATCTCTATAAAAATTTGAGCATGATCATCATTTAACTGTAACCATTACAAAAGTAAATAATAGGTGCATACTGTGCTTTTTTCAGCTAGTTATAATTTGCGACAGGTAGTCTCCGATTTGTCGTACACATTCTTGCAGTCTCGTTGTAAAACTGCTCATAGCATTTTTCATCATTTTTAGTGGTACTGCGGTCACTTCACCTTTCTTTTAATGCCTGGATAGTTATTATAGCGTGGTGTAAACAAAACGACAAATGGACAATACCTTCCTTATTTTGGTAATACGCAAGAAAAAGCAACTTCGCACTATCTATATTCAAAACATTGACGGCCCTAACCCACCTATCCTACCTCTACCTTTTTTGTAATGCCATTCCCAAACAGGCCCGACTCACCCTGTAAGACAAACAAGGAATGTTCATTTTCTTTTTTTTTTTTCACTTATTATGTGTACAAATAAAATATTTAGTATGTTATTAGCTAAGTGCAAATTATGTAATATATTGTTTTTAACAAATTTTTTATTTCTAGTACTGGTTAGATTTGCAAAAACCTGTGTCCAGACAGTTGGGTCTTTCGCTTGTTGACCCTTTGCTTCACTTTTGTGTAAAATTTTATACACCTGATCCCAGCCAATTAGAGGAAGAGTACACTAGATACTTATTTTGTTTACAAGTTAAACGGGATCTTGCGCAGGGTCACCTACAGTGTAATGACAACACAGCTGCTCTTATGGCCAGTTATATCGTACAAGCCGAATGCGGAGATTTTGTAGCAGAAGACTATCCTGATCATACCTACTTGACCAGTTATAAGTTTGTCCCCCATCAAGACCAAGAAATTGAGAGGAAAATAATGGAAAATCATAAAAAGCACATGTAACTTTTCATTATTTATTTATAAGTGTAACGCTTTCTTTTTCTCCTCTAAAAACTACTTAGTGCAAAAGACGAATAAGAATTGCCCAAAACTTGCTTCTTAATCTTAATAGTTATGCATTTTTTTTTATATAATACGTAAAGTATAGTTTGTTAATGGAATGTACGCATATCCAGTATGACTAGATTCCGCTCGAAAAGCTTTTTTAAACCATTTATGATTTTTGTAGCTTTAGTTAACTTTTTAACTAGAATAATTAATAATATAATATGTTGAAATATATCTACTGTTACGCCGAAAGAGCTCGCTGCAGAAGTTTTTTAATGTAATGTCCTACGAAATAATCAGTAGGTTTCTCCCTGGGGACGCGCTCTTTAGGATACAGGTTTCCTCAAAACGATAAATTTTGTACTTATACACTATGTCTGATCACTATTCCGGAATATTAAAAATGTAACATCTGGAGGCACTGTAGAGTACATATTGTGATGGCACCACACCGTAGCGGATGTAAAAAGTATGCGTAAAAAGTACTCCAGTTGACGAGCCGCCAATGATTGAAAACAGTTAACAATTTTACAGCTGCGGTATCTTATCGTCTTTCGTTATCGTAAGCGTCTACTGACGAAACACATATACCTATTCGTGACCTTCGCAATAGCTGATTGTTCGTAATGATGAGTAATAATCGGAACTTGTTAGCGTTCGATCGGCGAAGTATTACCCAGTATTACCATAAAATACAAAAATAATCAAATATATAAAAATATCAAACAAAAACCAATGTATTCACATGAAGAATATGCGGATATGATGTGATCACACATGGAGGGTGCAATGGGGATGCTCTGGCAGTATCACGCGACAAGCGTCATCGTTGTCCTTGCCGGAGCGGTTAGGACTTTCGGTAAGGTCATAATCCTCATATTTAAGTATATCACTGAGTGATTAATTTTTCCGGAGTTCTGATGAGACCTAGTGTATAAAAAACTAATTCAGCGTTTTTATACATGTTAGATGTGTAGTTTCAAGTGCCTTTTAACTATAAATGATTATAATTGTCCTTTTTCAGAGGTCAATCTCCAGGAGAAGCTGACCTAAACCTCCTAGAAACTGCTCGTAGATGTGAACTTTATGGCATAAAAATGCATCCCACTAAAGATCAGGAGAATGTGCCTCTTAATTTGGCTGTGGCACATATGGGTATTATTGTTTTTCAACATTACACAAAAATAAATACCTTTTCATGGGCAAAAATACGCAAAATTAGTTTCAAAAGGAAAAAGTTTCTTATAAAATTACACCCAGAAGGATATGTACGTTTCTGTTTTTATATTCTATACAGTAAAGTAATTTCTGTCAATATCTCTTGTTAATAGGGATATTATAAAGACACCGTAGAATTTTTTNTATAAAAGTCGTAGTAACTCGTTTAGAAGTGCCAAGATTATTGTAAAGAGGATTAGAACAGTTAGTCAATCTTTATTCCAGTTTTTTCATAAACTCAAATTAAATATGAACTGGTTGGAAAAGAATTATCCATCAAAAGGAAGGTTTTTTTAGGGGCCTCGGAAAACTAAAAATGTTCGGCACTATACAAAAAAGCCCACCTGATTTAAATCAGGAGTACGCGTCGATCAAGGTAATGCGCCTCTACTTTCAGTCCACCGTCCAGGAAACTGTTCTTCAAGAAACTCACGCGCTGGTCCTGCAATATAGGGGTTGCACTATCATGTTGAATAAACTCAACATTCACGCAGCTGCAACAACACATCACTTGTAAAAACGTCAAATAATTCGAACCCCTTAAACGCGCAGGTAGAACGAACGTTTTGAGCAAGGAATCTCCAAAAATTTCTCACCACACATTTATGGAAAACCGTTGCTGAAACATGTTTGTCCGCAGTTTAAAATTAGTAAACAATGAGAGAAATAAGAAAATGTAGAAAAGAATAATATAAGGCATTCTCTTGAAAACCGATGTATACTATGGACGTTTTTCTTAATAAAGGTTTATTATTTTGCAATGTCTTTTTAATAATTAAATGCTACGTTACAAACAGCTGCGGTAGGATAGTATAGTTCTATGTTTGGTGGTATTAATGCAGAACTATATAACAAAGGTACATTTTTGTGTAAAATCAAGATTATTTAATAAAGTTTGATCTTTTAGCTTAAGCTGATGTGAATAAATTGGCATTGGCTACCATTACCATTTAGGGATCAATTATTGCTTGAATTTGACGTTACCCTTTTTAACTAGGAGTCACAGATTTAATCTCATCCATATATACTTGATAGTTTTCACATATGACGTAACTCATTTAAATTTTTTTGTAGTTGTTATCCAAATGTTAAACAAAAATGAATTGCAACAAAGATACAAGTGCTTCTACTGGACAACTATCAAGTGCAAGTAGTGTGGGAGGTGGAATGCATCATTCGTTGTCTACTCCAATTGGCGTCGATGGAGGAGTTCGAACACCACCATCAACGCCCAGAAAATTTGGTAAAATGTTGGGAATCAAAGTTCAAATGTTGGACGACACGATTACAATTTTTCAAGTCCAGGTTTGTGTGTTTTCTTTAATATATTATTTTTTGATAACATATACCTAAATATATATGTAATCAAAAAATTTGAACTATATTATTTTTATGAATTAATGAATGTTCATACAAATGTAGATCGTTGTTTGTTATCTGCTTAACAAAGCATTTGTGTATTTTTAGTCTAAAGCGTTAGGAAGAGTTTTATTCGAACAAGTTTGTAAACAACTCCATTTATTAGAAGCTGATTATTTTGGACTGGAATACGAAGATTTGCATGGTACAAAGGTAAGTGTATTCATTAGCTTTCTAGATTTTTAGTATGTCTTGAAAAGCTTCAGTTTATGCTTATAATAAGGGTAATAATATTTAAAATACTTGAAAAAAATCAGAAATTACTGGACATAACTTTCAGCATGTAGGCATTCCCGGGAAATAAAATGTTAACAAACACATAAAGTAAATAATTAAGTACAGCCAGTATAGCATCACCTGATGGGTATTTTTTGTTAATAAAGTATTTAAACTTAAAATAAACTTTCTTTGATAAAGTATGCACGGAGACACTACATTCTACACACAGTAAGTCCACCAGCTCTTGACTTCCTGTCATCGAAAAGTATCCGTCAGAGTAAATGAAGTAATATCCCGAGATAGAAAATTCTGCATCAAATACTGTATCATCCAACCATGATTTCGACATGCATATAACATATTTCTCAAAGACTACTACATTTGGTTTAAAATTCAGAAGTTTGTTTTTTAGACTGCTAATGTTTTGATAATAGATTTTTTTTTATAATTATTTCCGAAGCTTTACCGAGGATATAGGTTTAGTAACAAAAAACGGGCATTTTTTATCAACATATTTTGTAGTAGGATTTAGCTCACCTTTTTTCCCTTGTATTATTCAATTCAATCACAGCTTTATTAATTAGTTATCCCCGAAATTTAGTGACTTGCAATTAAAAAATTTGTTAATTTCTATCAAAACAAGCCTGAAAGTTTTCAAATTATCCAAGTGTGATTATTGTCATAAAGAAAACGAATTTTATATACTTATTTAGCAATATAATTACTCCACCATGTCACAAAGATGCGAATTTATATATATTGAGAAATGAGATATAACTATTTTAATGTATTATTGAAAGAGAATTATACAATTTAGAACGACTAGTCAACAATTTAACTATAGAAAATTAATAACCTAATAGTATAATAATGATCTTAGCCTACCTTACTAGATAATTTGGGAACGTAAAAATGCCAACTACCGATTCTCGACTCGACCCCTCTATTATTAATTCCGCTAGTTAAACTGTCTGTAATTGACCTACTTACATAGTAGGTGTGTGTCGATCATGTTCGTAATTTGTGTGTTCGTCACACGGTCCATAATCATGTTCTTCTTCACAACTTCATACAATTCTGGTTCTACTTCGGGATTAGGAATTTCTGTGCAAATTATTTAGTCAGTTTCATCTGGTGTTCTTTTTTCTACCATCCACAGGAGAATATGCGCACGAGGCAGTCCTCTTCTGCCGCTCTATAGAGTATATCCACATCACATGATATTTTACGCTGAAGTTCATGAGCGCTTTAAGTTTTGCTTGAACATTCGTGCTGTTATGTCGTAACGATTGCTGGATGATTGACCGGGTAATAAGAGATTATTGATTTCGATCCATTTTGGGTTACACATGAAACTAATAAATAAATCAGGTCGACCGTATTGGCGCACATACGTTGCTGGTAAAATAGTAAATCGGCTAACATTATTTCCATTTCCATCTGTGTTCATGCCATCGCCCAAATTTTTCTTGTTTAAACGTATATATGTCAAACGTTCTGTTTCAATTTTGAAATACATAACATGAGATACTGATGAAATAATCAGCGGCATTTTAAAATGTGGGTATCCTCGTTTAGACGAATCATGAAACGGTATATATTAAAATTCATCGAGCTGACCTTTTTGTTTGTTTCTTTACCTGCACAAGAATACTTTATTTAGTATTGAAAGTGAAAAACTGTTTATAACAACGGTAGAGGGTTATTTCTGTCGTTAATAGTTTTATACTTGCATTGATACATTTCTATGCATACATACATAACGTGAGGGAAAACATTGTGAGTAAACTTGCTTATCTTACTATATGGATGGATCTTATTAATCGTGGATCAATGAAATAATAAATTACATTAAAGTAGTTTATTAACAAAAAGAAAAAATTGTAGTTTTAGTATAGCACTTAGATCTCAACCTGTTCACATTTATTTTCAATTTACTTCCTCTATCTTCCCGTTATTTTATTACACTACACTATCACGTCGTTGAATTACAAGATCGCGAGACCTCATATTCTCTCCAATAACCACAATGGCAACTTCGCTTAACATTAGTGAGTTGAAGTGTCTCTCATGTTCTCCTGCAGGTCTTTTGTCTGCTTTAATCACTATTTTATGATCGTCTGATGAAATCATTTCTACTCCACCTTCAGGATTTCCTACGAAATAAATTTGAAAAAATTTGTATTCACCATCAACTGATGGAAACAATGCTCCTACACGGTGGTGAATTTGTCCTTGAATATTTAATATTAAACATAAGAAAATATTANTATATTATACTGTTGTAATTTTGAATATTCTGTAAGAAATGTTTTAATAGAAGTTCTTGCCCTGAAATCAATGAATTTAATAGTTCATCTGGCGTCGCCAGTTGTGGTAATTTGGCCTTTCCATTCGCACAACATAATCCTGGCGATGCGAGTCGAAACCTCAAAGCATTGCAATATTGACAAATGGTGCTCATTAGTGATGTTCCGACTAATCGGCCACTATCGTAGTCGGCGACTAGTCCCCGAATATCCGGCAAAGTTCGCCGACTATCTGGCTTTTTACTTTGTATGTATTTGTCAATACACTTATATGAGGAATTACACAAACTAAAAACTTTGATTGTTAATTAACATTATTATTTTAGAATCAGTCTTAGATATATCGTGTTATCTTCATCAATAAACATTGACAAACATATCCTTGTTATTTAAATAAAATAGTAGGAATTTGTGTTATTAACAGACTTGGATTTGCGACTGGAAGGAATATTCTGTGATCGATCATTTGATCATAGAATCTAATTGAGGTATTAAGGTTGAATGTCCGTATTTGAAATTATTGTTTATACTTGTAGTATTTGCTGTTTTTCCCTGTCCACCACGAGAATTATTATTTGGCACTGCTTACACTTGACTTTACAAGAATCATTGTCCAATTGGTAAAAAAAGTCCATACGCGAGACTGTCTTTTTTACATGATTAAATTGTAATTGAGCTCTTTCACTTTAATGAACAAGAAAAGTATTATTTTTTTACACAAAAATTGTGACCCGTGCAAAAGCAAAAATCAAGAAAAATGCAAAGTAAGCAAAACTTGCGCTCAGATAAGCTGTAAACGAAGTATCATGGAAATGGCCGAATATCCGCGAAACCGTGATTGGCTGGGCCGACTAATCAGCTAGTCGGCCAAAGTCATAGTCGGCACATCTCTAGTGCTCATTGTTCCAAAATCGACCGATTTATCGCCAACGTAATCGACTGTTGTATTACCTATATTTAAACGCCAAACGTCCATAGATAATTGTTACGTTTGATCGTCTGTTTCTTTGCCTTTCGCTTGAAGTCGATGGTATCGGTTCTTCCGAAGTCGTGGTAGATCTCGCTTGAGAAATTCTCATTCTGTTTGTCTACAAACGCTGCTTATGTTCTTTTTTAGTCGCATTGTCTTGAAGATTGTGAAGATCCAATTTGGTGCAGTCGTTCGGAAGTTTAGCGCGTACATACGTTTCGGCGGTTTTTTAATACATTTTTACATTATGGACCTGAGATTTGTCAGGAAAGGTTTGTTTGTCAACCAATTTCGGCAACTATCTGTTGTGAGGGTCTCACCTAAATAGCTTCTAAAACAACCTTTTAAAGTAACTTTCTTTCTAATGAAAAACTTGACATTATTAAAGTTGGGTTTATATCCCAATTTATTCAACTACTTGAATTACATCGATTCGGAATATACTCAATTTGAAGATAAATCATTCAAATTGGAGGAGGAACTGTTCCTTAATAAAGTTATTAAAGATTGCCTCAATAAACTTTTCTTTACGTTGTCTTTTTTTTATAAAGATATTAAGGATTGCTTAACTATGGTCCAGCTGACACCGAAAAGTATGTCAATGATGTACTGTATAAACACTTCAAACCCAAAATTCTACAAAACGATTAGAAACCTAAAACACCTTGGCTTTAGGTTTTTAGGTTTGTAACCCTTTTATAGAATTTTGGACACTCAATTATACATATTATGTGAATGAAGTACTATGTCCGTTCCATTTGTTTTTGAAATTTATGATCGAAGCTGAAAAAGATCTTAGATGTTTTAATTAAAGATATTTACAATTATTATTTTTTTTACAATTATTTTTTAAAAATAATTTGCGACAGGTAGTCTCCGATTTGTCGTACACATTCTTGCAGTCTCGTTGTAAAACTGCTCATAGCATTTTTCATCATTTTTAGTGGTACTGCGGTCACTTCACCTTTCTTTTAATGCCTGGATAGTTATTATAGCGTGGTGTAAACAAAACGACAAATGGACAATACCTTCCTTATTTTGGTAATACGCAAGAAAAAGCAACTTCGCACTATCTATATTCAAAACATTGACGGCCCTAACCCACCTATCCTACCTCTACCTTTTTTGTAATGCCATTCCCAAACAGGCCCGACTCACCCTGTAAGACAAACAAGGAATGTTCATTTTCTTTTTTTTTTTTCACTTATTATGTGTACAAATAAAATATTTAGTATGTTATTAGCTAAGTGCAAATTATGTAATATATTGTTTTTAACAAATTTTTTATTTCTAGTACTGGTTAGATTTGCAAAAACCTGTGTCCAGACAGTTGGGTCTTTCGCTTGTTGACCCTTTGCTTCACTTTTGTGTAAAATTTTATACACCTGATCCCAGCCAATTAGAGGAAGAGTACACTAGATACTTATTTTGTTTACAAGTTAAACGGGATCTTGCGCAGGGTCACCTACAGTGTAATGACAACACAGCTGCTCTTATGGCCAGTTATATCGTACAAGCCGAATGCGGAGATTTTGTAGCAGAAGACTATCCTGATCATACCTACTTGACCAGTTATAAGTTTGTCCCCCATCAAGACCAAGAAATTGAGAGGAAAATAATGGAAAATCATAAAAAGCACATGTAACTTTTCATTATTTATTTATAAGTGTAACGCTTTCTTTTTCTCCTCTAAAAACTACTTAGTGCAAAAGACGAATAAGAATTGCCCAAAACTTGCTTCTTAATCTTAATAGTTATGCATTTTTTTTTATATAATACGTAAAGTATAGTTTGTTAATGGAATGTACGCATATCCAGTATGACTAGATTCCGCTCGAAAAGCTTTTTTAAACCATTTATGATTTTTGTAGCTTTAGTTAACTTTTTAACTAGAATAATTAATAATATAATATGTTGAAATATATCTACTGTTACGCCGAAAGAGCTCGCTGCAGAAGTTTTTTAATGTAATGTCCTACGAAATAATCAGTAGGTTTCTCCCTGGGGACGCGCTCTTTAGGATACAGGTTTCCTCAAAACGATAAATTTTGTACTTATACACTATGTCTGATCACTATTCCGGAATATTAAAAATGTAACATCTGGAGGCACTGTAGAGTACATATTGTGATGGCACCACACCGTAGCGGATGTAAAAAGTATGCGTAAAAAGTACTCCAGTTGACGAGCCGCCAATGATTGAAAACAGTTAACAATTTTACAGCTGCGGTATCTTATCGTCTTTCGTTATCGTAAGCGTCTACTGACGAAACACATATACCTATTCGTGACCTTCGCAATAGCTGATTGTTCGTAATGATGAGTAATAATCGGAACTTGTTAGCGTTCGATCGGCGAAGTATTACCCAGTATTACCATAAAATACAAAAATAATCAAATATATAAAAATATCAAACAAAAACCAATGTATTCACATGAAGAATATGCGGATATGATGTGATCACACATGGAGGGTGCAATGGGGATGCTCTGGCAGTATCACGCGACAAGCGTCATCGTTGTCCTTGCCGGAGCGGTTAGGACTTTCGGTAAGGTCATAATCCTCATATTTAAGTATATCACTGAGTGATTAATTTTTCCGGAGTTCTGATGAGACCTAGTGTATAAAAAACTAATTCAGCGTTTTTATACATGTTAGATGTGTAGTTTCAAGTGCCTTTTAACTATAAATGATTATAATTGTCCTTTTTCAGAGGTCAATCTCCAGGAGAAGCTGACCTAAACCTCCTAGAAACTGCTCGTAGATGTGAACTTTATGGCATAAAAATGCATCCCACTAAAGATCAGGAGAATGTGCCTCTTAATTTGGCTGTGGCACATATGGGTATTATTGTTTTTCAACATTACACAAAAATAAATACCTTTTCATGGGCAAAAATACGCAAAATTAGTTTCAAAAGGAAAAAGTTTCTTATAAAATTACACCCAGAAGGATATGTACGTTTCTGTTTTTATATTCTATACAGTAAAGTAATTTCTGTCAATATCTCTTGTTAATAGGGATATTATAAAGACACCGTAGAATTTTTTTTCGAAAGCAGGAACGAATGCAAGAATTTTTGGAAAAAGTGTGTGGAAAATCATGGTTTCTTTAGATGTTCATCAGTAAAAACTGTTCCCAGGCATAAGACGAGAGTTCTTTCTAGAGGTAGTTCATTTAGGTACGTTTTGATTTTTCTTTATATACTTTTAATGTTTTATGATATTATGAGTAGATTTTTGTTTTAGGTATAGTGGAAAGACCCAAAAGCAAATAGTTGAATTTGTGAGAGATAATTACGTAAAAAGACAGGCATTTCAGAGGTAATATATTTTCTTACTCTGTATGTATAAATAACCATGTGCATGTTTTATTGACTTGACAAACATGAGCTGATATTTAAATGGCATCTCTATAAAAATTTGAGCATGATCATCATTTAACTGTAACCATTACAAAAGTAAATAATAGGTGCATACTGTGCTTTTTTCAGCTAGTTAGAAAATGTAAAGCAAATTAGAAAGGAAGGATGGGTTAAATTTTCTATAATTCAATTTGCACCTGTTCTAAATCATTTAAATATTTTCTTCTATACTTATTAACTAAACGTTTTGCATGTAGTCAAATTTGGTTGTCTTTAAATATAATGAAGTGTAATTTTCTTATTTATTTCGTGATGACTGAAAATATAATAAGTTGATTTATTTCTTGTTTAGTTAATTCATTTTTATTTTTTTTCCTCACTGTAATTGTTTATTGATGTTAAAGTAGTAATTTAAGAATGAAGGATTTACATCAATATTAAATTTTTGATAATATACTTAAAGTTACTGAAGATATACTTTTATTTACATTTTAACTAAGTAATACATCCACAGGAAGACTGATAATGTTTTTAGAATAACGAAGCCTATTGTAGACATTAAATGAAAATGTCAAAAAAGTTGCGTTAGTGTTTTTATTTTTTTTTTTGGTAACCATGTTTTGATTTTATTATGGATGGTTATAAATGAATTTACATAGTTTTTTGTTCATGATATTTTGAATCTCATCCTTCTTTCTTTTATGCAGGTCGGCTTCTTTCCGGCATACTAGTTCACATTCGAGTTCAGTCAACATGCACGCAAGCTCAGTTGGCAACAGCATTTCTGCCCACCCCTTGTTGCCCCTTAGTGACAATGTCGTGACTGGTAGGTTTATTTTGATATGTTTTATTTGAAATTTAAGTTGCATTGGTTGCATTATTATTGACGTAGATTATCGTTGTCGCTTTTGGGGTTTATGAGATTTGTGTTTGTCACGCTTCTTGGCTTTTTATGTCTTAATAAATACATAAATGTAGAAAGTTGCTTGCGTTTATTCCGCTGAAAATTGCATTCCACGGTACGCACCTCTGCTGAAAATGTCAAATTAATGAGGACATGAAAATTTATTAATAACCAGCTAGTTTTCATGCAATCTAACATATATAGTGACAAAAAAGACCAGATTTTCTAGATGTCTCATTTTGAATCGTTCTAGCACATGGTAAGCCTCTATAAATAGTTGTTGCGAAGTCGGAAAAGTTTGTACGAGTTACCAGGCGATATAAAGGGAAGTAGAAAGGTTGAAAAAATGAAAAGTGTGCGATGTAGTGGTGAATTAATAATTAGTTAATGGTTGCGGTGTTGAATAAAAAGTAAATAATTAAATAAATTTAGTAATCGTGCACTATTTAAAATGCACGTTAAAATAGTATTAAGAGCACGAATGAAAGATAAAATTAACGTTATGTAAACATTAATCGGCAAGTCATTATATTCTGATAGGTAATTGTAATTTTTTTAAACATAAAGCAGGTTTCCAAAATAACATGGAGGTATTGCCAATATGCTTTACCTATTTTTTATAGGTGGTTTGCCAATAGCCCTATCCTCCCATTAGAAAAAATTAATTGCAACATCGGTAAACATACAAACACTCCAAAAAGTTGTTTAGAATTCGAACCTCGTGCTGAAGGCAGACTTCGAGGCGTCTATCAAAATTATTAACCGATTCTTTTAATCTCGCATTTAAGACGGTCTTAGTAAATTAGTATTATGTCACAAAGTTTGACGTATTAAACGCTATTGTAACAACTGCAGTTTTCTACACTGACCTATCCTATGATTGTGACACACTAACTAATCAAATCGACTGACTGCATACATCTAAGTCTAGCACATTAAAAGAACAAAGAACTGCTATTAAGCTGTTTGTCAATCGTCAGTTATACAAAAAAGAAGAAATACAACACGGATGCTGCTAAGTATCTGATATTAGAATACGACGTTGCATTGTCGGATTTCTTTGGAGGGCCTGATTTACATTTGCCTGTACTTTTAACTACGTTTTTCTCGAAAACGGTGAACTTTCGGACATACAAACATTTACTTAACTTTCTTGTTGTACTGTGCTTTATTACCTCCTGTAAGGTTGCTACTTATTCAGAAATCTGTATTATTACCAATTTTTCCTTTCAGGCTCAAATAGCCAAAAATCGTTTTAGGCATCATCATCTCATTCATGGTAAAAATTTGAAGCTAATCAATGATTATTCCTGGAACCCCTGGCTAAATTTGTTACAACAGTTCCTATGTGACTGCCAGAGCTATATATTGAACAGTACTGTACTAACAGACGCCGCACAGCCTAAAAAGAAAAAAGACCTAAGGAATTGAAATTTTGAGAAAATATTCTTTGAGTACTTTTGGTATCCACTACTGTGGGATTCTTTGAAATTCCATCTATAAATCGTTAACACGAGTAGTATAGTTTGTAGGAACAAACGTTTTTCACGATACCCTCGGAATGGGGATTACCTTGCAGAATATTAAAGTTTTCTATGAGAGGCTGGTCAAAAGTTAATTGCAAATTACCGGTTATGTTCAGTAAAGGAATGACTTCGATCGTTATCAATTACTTTGTATCGATATTTTTATAATTTACGAAAATACAGCAATTGGTTTTTTGCTAATATTTAGAAAGAAAGAGATGAAACGAGAAAGAGAGAGCAAGAAACAAATTTTGAAAGTTTAAGAAGAAAATGGAAAAGCGTGTAATCTATGAAGGAGAAATATCAGTAGGCGATCTTGCTTGTTATTAATTTAACGTAATGTGGGTCACGTTTAAAATTGATAAAAATATATTTAGGCCCTTATGAACTAACAAAAATGAAACAAAATGAAAGATCGTACATTTACGTGTGTTGAATATGTGAAATAATTTTATTGTTAATGGTGAACAATGTAGTTAGTTTATTGGACAACGAATAAAAACATGCATTTTAAAAATCCTACAATATTTTAGAATACTGTGATGGTAAAATTGCTACCCCTCTGTACAGAATATTTTAGAAAAACGAATACCAGTCCTTGTACTGCACGAGAGATAGCTGGGTGTTGAATTAAATAAAATTGTCTGAGCACCGTACCAAGTTTATTTGTCTAATACTGAAAACGTTTAAAACGTATTTACAAGAACACATACGTGTAATTAAACTTTAGTCCAAATTTAATGTAACTTATACGCACATAGATGCCGTTACACTGTCTTTAGCTCTCTGTCTTTTCGTGGCGTGCTATGCGTGCTGGATTGGGTCGTAGCAGCCGACCCTGTTTTTGTCGATAGGACAATATGGTGAAAACAGTAAAACAAGGGAGAAGGAGTGGATGTCCAAAATAGTCGTGATGATTTTATAACGTTAAAGAGAGTAAATAATTCGGGATGGTTTCTCACGCTATACCACAACCTGCCTAAAGGCTGTTTTTAGCCAAAATCTTAATAATTAACTCCTTTCGTTAACCCTATCTTTTTTGGAGTTTTTATCTGTTCTACGATAACTTCCGGTCTACTTTTTCCATAATGTATTTCATTGGGAGCAAATCTAGTCGATTTGTGAATAGCATTATTTATACAATCTTTTACGTTTCATAGTTCGTATGCCCATTTAGTGTGGTTTTCATAGCACAATGCTCTCAATAGCCTACGTTTCTTTTTCACTACGATGAACTATTATGAGTGGTATTTTAATATGTATAATTGTCTTACAGACACTCACATTACAAGTGATAGCAATGATTGAGGTATTGAAATTTTAGGTTATACGTAAGTATAAAAAGATTGTGTCTCATGGTGTCATAGGAGAACTAATTGTATGTCGATATACATTTCCTATGGACTCAAAAGAACAATTAATAATGCCCATAATAATGGTTTAAACGAGAGTAATGTATGAATGTGTTCTGTTATTATGTATAATAGATAAAGAATGATTTGTGATCAGCTTATTATTCGCCAAACGCCGATTAAGCTATATTTATTAATAAACAAGCTAAAGAATGTAGGAAAAGTAAAATTAGTTGGTGACTGTACTATTAGCTATTTTAATGACAGTATAAAAAGAAATGAGATGATGAAATGAGTCTGTTAGAATTAAAGCAATTGGTACACCAGCCTACTTGTGTTACTGAAAGATCTAGAACGTTGATTGGGCTGGTGCTTGGTAGCGATGATAACTTTACTGCTTTTATTCCTATTAACTTATATATTACTAAGTAGTTATGAACTTTAATAGTGTTAGTTATTTGATACAAATTGTGTTCTCTTTCACGTAACAAAAAAAAATAAATAAAATTCTAGAATATTTAGTTATGAATCGATTCTAAAACAAATAAATTAAAAATTGCTGGTGTCAATGTTTCATAATTATTTAACGAAAAACATTATTTACAACTTGCGGATTAATTTATATTGATCATGTGAATTAATAGACTCCAAGAAGAAAAAAAATTTTTTATGTTAACATAGCTTTTTATATTATTAACATTTTAGGCGGTGTGTAAATTTATTTGGATGTTTTTTTAGTTTTCTCTTGGATACGCCACAACTAAATTTAGAAGAGACGTTTCATTATGATCTTTGCTTCATCTTATTAAAAATTGCAGATTGGTAATTGAAGAACAAGTGCATAAAATCGATTACGTATGAATGTGCAAAATACAGCTTGTTGGTAATAAATTTTCATATACTTGTGAATTCAATGTATAGTGCCTGGGGGGTTCAGTGTTTAACTCGTCAATTTTGTAGGACACGTAATTTTTTTCTACTATTAGATTTCATTATCTTTTCATTAAACTGCAAAAGAAACGGTTTGTAGAACACGTCAAAATGAAGCCGTTCGCGAAGTTTCAGCGGCTTGGTAACAATTTTTTTGTCTTATCAACTGTGAGTGCAAACCTTGATTGAAACTCATTTTTGGCCGCCAGTGGATTTGTGTCGGTGGTTTCGAAAGAAAAGTGCTTTGCTTGTAGTCGAATTTACGTAGGACGGAATTTTGAATTTTCACAATAATCATTATTGGTGCGATGCAAATTCGCATGTTGTACATCCTTCGCGTTCGTTAGATATGTAATTATGTAAGAAAAACCTATTTTTATTTTGATTCTTTATGGTGTCTGGTTTTCGTCATCATCGAAGAGATTACTTTATATTCATATTGACTTTATATATAATGTTATTGTTTATTATTCTTATTCATTTTAGCGGAAGTATCCAAACGGTCAGTATCCCTTGCATCAATGGAAGACCCCAAAAAAATTCCGGATTCTCCGACGACGAAATCAGCCTCTCTCCCCCAAGGCACAGTTATGTCTTGGAATTCGATTACCGACGTTCAGCATATCAGTCAGCTTGCTCAGACGACGAGCTCGCCGTCCCCACCTCTGACGATGCAATCGGTATTTAATTTCCTTCTGTTATTACACTTTGAACCTAAGTTTTAATTTATGTGTAAAACTTAATAATGTTTTGTATTTTAGATATCACCGGCAACTTCTGCAACTGCGAGTCCACAGCACTTATCCTTTCAGGACCCCCACCGGATAACCCAGAAATACATCAGCACACCGCCGCCGTCATCTCCTCCGCCGTCATTGCCAGTGACCGATCACAAAATCGAAACAGGTATCGTTCAAACCATTCACACCACTTTTGATAAGGCGGGCCCTAATTATAAATCAGAAAGTAAATCAGAAACTACCATTCAAACATCATCATTCCCACTGCAGGTAGCAACACCACAAAATAACACCTTCGAATGCCCGCAGTATACGTACAAAAGTTCGAATATTTCCTCGAAGCGGTCTGTTTGGTGTCGCAGTTCAAGTTGTCGTGAACTTAACGAATATAGTTTTGAGGAGTCAGGTAGAACTAAACACAAAACTCGAACGAATGGTTTCGATAATCATTATCTAGAAAACGTAACATTAGAATCACCCGTTACACGTTATAATGATCAGGTAATTTATACGCGCCCACGTGTTGACTCCTTAGAAATTCAACAAGATATCATAGTTTCTGATCAGAAGGTTTATTCCAGCAGTTATCCAGGGACTTCAGTATATTCTCAAGAATCTGCAGAAGATCCTGGTAACTATGACATGCGCGATTCTCAAGACGATATAACACATGATAGCTATGAATTACTTGAACGGTCTGATGATGAAATTAGTTATAATCAGAGATTTCAAAATAAAAAGTTTTATTCAGTGCGAAGTTGTAGTTTAGATTCAAGCAATTATCCTCCGTCAGATTTTGACTATGATTCAGAGCATAGACTTAAATGCAAAAGTAGTTCAGATATCACGTACGACACGTTTACTTGTGATGATCCTCGCTATTATCCTAGAGAGAGATTGCCTCGCAAGTCTGATGGTATTTTTTATAAGAGTATTAAAACTTCTTCCAGAACGTCATCCCTCGAATCCAGGAGTAGTGATCATTTTGTTAAAACATCAAAAGGACACAAAACTAATGATTATTGTTTTACATCAAGAACTTCCAGTAAAGATTCTAAAACCGATACAACCGAATTAGATCTAAAGACTCATTATTTTGATGAAAGCATTCCGTGCGATTCAGACTATTATTTGAAAAATGTAGTTCATGATTATGATAGAAAAATTCCATTTGAACGAAATTATGGCACACAAAAGAAGAAGCATTCCTATGCTATTCAAGCCCTTCCTCCTGATAAAACCAATCTGTGTAATGATTATTTTGAAATGAAAACAAGTTCTTCAGAAAACAATATATTCAGTTTTGAAGAGGGCAAAATTCAGACCTTCGCACAAGGTGCACAACCAATTTGTAAACATGTGAACAATTCAAAGAAAAGTGTTGGAAACAAACGTGGATCTTTTGATGATTTGTATGTTGATGCTGAGCCTAAAAAGATTGGAAAAACCTATGATAGTTTTCCTGTTCATCAAACTATTGAGCGTACAAAATCAGATCCTAATTCTTTGTCTAGACAAAAGTTGAGTTCTGGGTCTAGAAGACATCTTTTAATGCATCAAAAATCGATAGATATTACTCCAGCTGAATCAAGTGATGATGATTATTTATTTAGACAGATCCCTAGCGCTCCTCCTATCACATCTTTTAAAGGCTCTTATTTTGATATGCCTCATGCAGAATTTGGTCATTTCGATATATTAACAAAAGAGACAGAGGGACTCAAGACAAAATTTGAAGTTCCCAAAAGTCAATTTGAAGTTCTTGGTGCGAAAACGCAATCTGATTTTGTGAATCCACCAAAAACTGAAGGCGATATCCCTTACATATTACACAAACGGCATATAATGAATGGTACTATTCCTAAAGAGGAAATGAGTGTATCTCAAAATGGACCTGTTAACGATATGTTGCCAGAAAAAGTAAAATCTTTTAACGACAAATCAGTTATGCAGAAAAGTCCTACCAAAATAACCGCAGCAGAAACAGGTGACTCAATATTTTTATTCACACAAAATATAGATTTGTCTAAAGTGGATCCTGTTACTTTAGAAATTGATAAAAGTAAAACTTCTGTAAATTACCTTTCAAGTCCAAAACGTGACATAACGCGTATAGATCCTGCTCTTTTAGAAACCTTGAGTTCTAAACTAAGTCAAATAGAAAGTGATTCACCTACTAGCTCGAAAACTGAAAGTTTAAAACCCGAACTTAAAATATCAAATTTCGTTCAAAAAAATTCAGGTAAGGATGGTAGTGTAAAAACGGAACACACTAATCACAAATCCAATAAAGGCTTTCAGATCACTCCATCAACAAACATTTTATACAAAGATAAAGTTAAATTCGATGCGAAGCAAAAGAGGATTAGCAAACCAAGGTCCCAAGTAAAAAAGTTTGCAAAAAGTAATAAAACTAAAGTGCGAATTACATCGTTCAGCTCAGATGACGAATCTCTAGATTCTGATGATGTTTTCGGAAGTACCGAAGCAACACCAACTAAGCTCGAATTTTCACCACCTCAAACTCGTAAAGAAATGGAGTCAATTTTGAAGTTTGAGGCGGAACGAAAATATTTGCAATATACTATGTCTTCTACTGAAGTTGAGGGTTCACCTCCAACCACCAGAAAAATAGAAGTTTTGTGTAATGATAGAACCCTTGATCCTAACTTTCAAACTGAACTTAGACGAATTTCTGAAAGATCTTTTTCAATTCCAAGTTCCGAAGATGATTTAAATATCAACACATCCGATTTACAATCCGTATTTCAGGAAATTGTTACTACTGAATCGACGTTAACGACAGTTGTAGAAGTTGATAAAGAAATTACTGATAAATATTTTGATTCAACAATAAAAGATTTACAAACTGACGAAATAACTGAGATTTCGGAAAGTAGAACGGAACCTATATACTTTGATGACTTTTCGAAAATGCAAAGCACCGACGAGTTACAGAGAGAGAAAGCCCTTTTGAAATCTCAAATCGAGCAAGATCTTCAAGACTTGAAAGTTCCATCGAAAACCAAAATAACGGAATTATGTACTCCATCAGCTTATAGGAAAGGACAAAGTCCTTTGCTGTTTACACATGCTAGGTTGAATTTGTCGGAAGGATCGGCATTTACTTTGCTGCAGAAGCAAGAAGCTTCTGAGTGTGCTTTACCTAGTCGAAGAACAAAGAGTTTGGATACTCCAATCATTGCTATACATAGACTTCCCCTTTCTACCGCTTTTTCCAGTAAGGATGATACAGTAGATGAAGAACATTTTAAAAGTCATGAAACATCCGATCAGGAGTATACTTCTGACGAAGTCCCTCAAAACGAAGGTGTCTTGGAAGAAACTGAAGACCGATTTGTGCTTCAAGATCCTGTTAAAATGGTGACAAAAATATCAATACCAGAAAGTGATCTACAAACAAAGTATAAATTAGAAAATGACCAAATTGTACCAGATCTTGTGCTTAGACATATTTACCAGCACGATGTGAAAATTGATGCATTATCTAATGATGGCTCTAAAGAAAAGCAATCAAAATTACCAGTAAAAACTTATACAGAAAGATCAATAAGGATCGCAAAAACTACAAAAAATATTCAACAGAAATCTAATTCTAATTTATTTTCAGACAATATAGCCCTAAAACAAAACTCACTGACTGCTTCAGATAAAGAAATAAAGCGTACTAAAAGCCAAGAAACGGATATTACCAAAAAAGTTCCTCCGAAAGAAAAAGCAAAATCCCTAGAGAAACTGGAATTCAAGAGAAATAGCAGTAAAGAACGCGCAAAATCCCAGGAAGATAGCGATACAGATGTCGTCAAAAGAAAGGAGAAACAACAGATGTTATATGAGACTGCGATAAAACAAACTAAAACAATAAAAAGCCCTGTAAGAGACATTCTTCCAGTGTTTCCACAAGTTGAAGAATCTGTTAGAGAACGAGGAGGAAAGTTGGAAATAAGTATAAATACAATCGATAATCCAAGTATATCCTTAGAGGATGCCATCATTATAACTAAGTCGCCTAAACGCCTAGATAAAAAAATGGATAAAAAATTGACACAGAGTTTAGAATTGAATATTTCCGAAACAATGAACAACTCAAATGAAGATAAGAAGATTCAGAGATTGGGTAGAAGCTTAGATCTAGAAAGTATGCTAAAAAATGACGAAAATCAGGAATTAGAATTTGACTTCAACAGTGATGTGGTGACTCGATTTAAAGCTGAAGACGATAAAAGAACAGTTAAATCAGAGCAAGACGCCATTTCACAGGATTTAATTTTAGAAGGTACTAGTTTGGATGTATGGTTATCTGTTGGAGATAAAAATGAACAACAGGAGAGGTTAGGCGACATTACAATAATTCAAAAGTCGTATGATTTTTTTGAGGAGCGTCCGAAACCACCGGATTTAAGCAAATCAAGTAACAAAAGCTCTTCTGATTCTACAAGCGTAGAAAAATTGAGTTTGGGAAATTCATTAGATATCGGTTATATAGATGAATCTGGAGATTCGTCTCATAAATCAGAAAGTGATGCAAAGATAATAAACGAACTGCAAAAGTCAAGAGAAGTTGTTACTAAGTATATTAAGCGAAAAATGGAAAGACGTCGTAAAACTAGTCAGGAAGACACAGAAAAAAAATCCTTGCTTGGAATAAACCAACAAATAGAGCTTTTTAAACCAATACTTTTTTCTGTTAATCAGGAATCTAGTAAAATGAAAACAGGAATAGAAAGTAAACTGATTAATGAATTTGTTGAAGAAAATGTGGATACTTCTGCAGGTTCTCTAGAAAAGGTTCATAACGAATTTAAAATAGAAATTGAGTCTGATTCAAATTTAACTGTAGCTGATTTTAGTGAAGAACAACACAATTTCACTGATAAGTCTGCCTTTCTTTCTGCAGAAGACAGAAGTTCTAAAAAAGTGGAGTTACTTAAAAGGAATTCTGATCAGTCGAAATCTAGTGATACCGGATCTTGGACTAGCGGAGAAAAAGATAATAGTCCGGGAAATTTAAAAGAAACTGCAGATGAATCGAGTACAAGTTGTGCAATAGGCCAAACGATTGGATTAAGTCAAACTATAGAAAAATTTACTTTACGCGATCAATTAAACAAAAGTTCCTTAGATTTAGATGTTCCTAGAAGTCCACGAAGCCCCAAAATTTGCATGCTTGGTAGAGCATTTACGATAGACGAAGAGTCTTACGGGTTACAAAATAAATCTGACGAATCTATTTCAGAAATTAACGAAATTCCAAAGGACGGGCTAAAACAGGAAAATGACGTTGTGAATTTGAAATATAAAAAAAGTAAGTACGCATTTGAAGAAAAATGGTCGGATGAATCCGAACTTGGTCAGAAAATTCAACAAAAAATTGTAAAGAAACTTACATCCTCCGATAGAAATAGCACCTCATCAACTGAAGAAAAACGTAAAAACAGTTTCGCTACTAATAGTAAGGTGCTCTCAGCTGATTCTATGGACACAGAATCTAGCTCTGGCAGTCTGGGATTTGCAGCTAAATTAATAAAAGGTGATATTGCTGAAACAAGTTCTTCATGGAAACCTTTTCCTTTGGAGAGTTCCGGTTCATCTAGTATAGAAGATGGTGGTATATCCAACGGTCAAGATAAAGATCACGAATACTTTGTTTCTGCATCGAAAGTGGATGATGATGTAACCCCGACGTCAAATTCAGGCGCTAGTAAAGACGAGTTAATCGATTTTCCTACAACTTTTGGATATCCTACTTTAACATCGACTATTGGAGGAATGGGTTTAAATATAAGTGGGACTGACATTTTAGCAGGATATTCTTCAACGTTATTAGGTAGAACCTTGTCAAGAATATCAGAGAGAAGTAGCAACTCTGAAAAATCTAGTATTGAAGAAGATTCAACGAAAGCTAGCACACATTTGGATAGCTTAAATGATGGATCTTTGACTTCTAGTGAACATAATGCAAGTTTGAGTTCAGATACACCCAGCAATGCCCGCAAATCGGATTCAGATAAAAATCAGTCAAAGGAAAACGAACCAGCAAAACGAAAGGATAACGTACTAAGTACAAAACATGACTCTGAACCTGTGCCACACTTTAACAACTTACTCTTGCAAAGACAGGTATCAGATGACAGAAGAACTTCGGCTGAAATGGCTGAATTATCAATAGATGATATTGAAATAATTACATCTGAAAGCGGTTTGCGGCTAAAAAGACAAGGATCTGACGATACCGTTATCGACGAGGAGTGTTTTGAATATGAAAGTAAACAGCAGGACAAAAAAGGTTCTAGCAGTCAGGAAAGTGAAGATTGGCCTTTACCTGAAATACCTCAGCATGAAACCAATGAAAATGCTATTACACCTTTGATTTCTCTTCATAATGCGGGAAGCTCGGATGCTTCACAACTCACGACCCAAGTTTTTAAGCTTCCTCAAAACGATATTCCAAAAGTATTTGGATTGCGAGGATCTTTAAAGAGCCAGGACTCTGAACCATGGCCTAGTCCTCCTTCTAGCATTCAAGAAGCGATTGTTGTTGAAAATATCCAAACTCATTATGTTACTCCTGAAAAAGCTTCTAAAGTTGTTGTTGGTCTAAATTCATCTTCAAGTGCCTGTGACAATATTTCAATTTCAGATGAACTCAAAAATGACGGGGATTTACAGGAACATATTTATGAAAACATCCCTCCTATTTCAAATAATTTTAGCAGTGTTCGAATTATATTAGAGGAAAAATGTAGCGATTCTCCAGGTTCAAATTCCGAAGAGTTTAATTCATCAAATTTGAATGATGACGTGTTCGTTGATTCATTGGAAATGACAAAAATTGAATTAAAACCTCCAACAGCGCTTCGACGAAGTACTGCATCGGACGATTCGTCTCATTCAGGACATAAAAGCGAACTAAAACCACCTCCATATTCGAGTAGTCATAGTTCTTATTCGGAAGAAGATCGTACGAGTTCTTTGGGTACCAATTTAGAAGAAGGTACTGTTAGATTTGCTTTAAAACCGACAAAATGTACTCATAGTTCGCATTCGGAAGATACATCTATAGCTCTGAGTTTATCCGAATGGTCAAATAGTACAAACACAGTCAAATTACCAAATTTATCAACCAGTAATAGTGCTGCAACAAAAAGCAGTTCAGGGTTAAAAAGTGACGATAACTCTTTGGCGGATATTGCACCATCTCTTTCTGAATGGTCAACTAGTAATAGCAACACTTTGAAAACTCATCAAAATTCAGGAATAAATTTTCAAAGATTATCTTCCAGTACGTCTACTGGAGATAGTAATACTTTAACAGATTTTATTCAAACAGTTTCAGAAAAATCTAGTACTGATTCAAAGACATTGACTCCACAACAATTTTTCCTACCCTCTTTGCCGGCAAGGCAAAATATTTCCCGCTTGGGATCCAGCGTGGACGATTTGGAAGTACCTTATGAGCAAAAGAATTTAAAGAGTCCACAAAATATTCCTTCGGAAGATTTTGCAATTTTAAGTAGTTCATTGCCTACTAAAGTATTTTCTGAAGAGTTGAAAAAAGTGAAAAAGTCAATAGATAGACCAGTAACAATTCCTTCGCAAGTGGCGTCAAATAAAAATAAACTTCTACGTATTTCCAGTACCAACGATCAGAAGGACAAAAAAAAAGCTCAGAAAATAAGCAGTACAAATAAGACCCGAAATTGGGAACTCACCGAAAATTCCGTTGAAACACCTCTTTCTAAATGTTCACCTTATTATTCTAGTAGTCTCAGTTCCGAATCCAATCAAATAGCTGTTAGTAAGATGGCCACGGTTCCTTTAATTAGAACTCATAGAAAATCATTACCCAAAAATGGATTACATGTAAAAACACCTGTTAGTGAAAACGATTCTACAAGTTCTGTAGAATCTCCAAAAAGTTCTGTTGAAAGACGTGCTCTAAGAAGAAAGAAGCAAAAACACAAAACCGATAAAGAAAGAATAATAAAAACTGACTACGTATCCGATAAATCGCCGATTATTCAATCCGATCTTTATGTGAATCAAGAAGAGTTTAATTACAATGTAAATGTGTCATTGTATGAGTCTATGTATTTAACGGAAACGTTAGAAGAAGGTTATTTTCCCGACGGAGATTCTCAATCTGGCTCTGAAGTATTTAGAATGGAAAAGGATGAAGAAAATCCATCAGAACCTGCCGAGGAATTTGACATTAAGTCGATACCTCCACCCGTTTTAGAAGATGATTTTGAAAATGATAGTCCTTCTACTCTTTGATTTTAATTAAAATTGGTAATTTATTACAAGATGAGTAAACAAAATACTTGTTTTTTTTTTTTAATTATCTGTGTAATTGCATTGAAGGGAAAAATAATTTTTATACAAATTACACATAGGATTTCTTTATACTTAAACATGTTTTAGGTAATTTATTAGTTTTGTTTTTCGTGAATATACATATTAATTGTTGAGGTATTTACCAGGTACAGATAAAAATATTTTCAGTCATAGTACGGATAAGAATATACAAGGTGCCCTCGCACGAATTATATCTGTTTTTTTCTAGTGTCTACCTGCAGTTGAGGTATATTATTAAATGTATGTAGTAATAACCGAGCTATCATACTTGGATGCACAGGTGAACACGAATGGCTTGGGTAAATCGCTTCTTCTGTTGGTATACTTATAAAAAATTCGTTCACTGCTCACCTTTTCTTATCCGCTTAATAGGTTAAATATGTTTTGTTTTTTGGGCGTTAAGTTGAAAACAATACACTTAAGAATTCTAAGGTCGGATATTTATGAAACATAATAGTAATAAATAAATAAGGGATTTCCTTTTTTATGTTTCAAAGGGAAGTTTATTAAGCTTTCATCGAGTGTACAAACATTTTACTGCTTAGTATTATTTATTCTCTTGATAAAGGTATCATATTCATGTTCATATACGGAAACAATTGTAGAGTTTCTTAATAAACTTCTTTTTGATACATTAAATAGCAATTCATTTGTTTATATATTTATAATTCAGTTTTATAACTCAACTTCCAGAGAGTAATCCGAAATTGACAACTGTCGGAAGATGCACATGCATTGGCAAAATTTATTTTTATTTTATAAAAACATTTTAAGTATAAATTTATAAGAACGGATTAAACTCTAGGCGAGTAATTTATCGAAACTATCCGACGTGGATCTCGATTTCTATCTTATTTAATCCTATTTATACGTAGCCTTAATTAATCACCGTTTAAACAAAAGATATTTATATGATACTGAGTTAGGACAGCATATTTGCTGCTAACTGAGATATATAAAATGCCAAACGAAGGCTTTACTAAGGTATCTACTAAGGTTAAGCAAATCACCCGATTAATAAAAAAAATAGTTTTTATTTTTTTTTTGATAATGTTTCACCACAGGAAAAAATTCTTGAGGATAAAGTATGTACTCTTATACACCTCGAAAAAAGAGGTTATTTTGAAAATCTCAAAAATCGTTTGAGGTAAAAAGCTAGAAATTTAGCTGACTTTTTTTATTTAAGGCCAAATCAATCCCCCAAGTGCAAATCGAAAAAACGCAGGAGTAAATTTCCCATACGTACCCAGCTATACCCTTTACCAAAAATCCAAAAAGACAGTAGCTTGCATGGATAAGATCTGTTTAAATCCTACATTTGCAACATCAGAAATTAAATAAAGCGGTATTTCCCGAAGAAATTTTCATATTGCGTGTTGTTCATTCACGTGACTCAACCGAATCAGCCTACACTATTTTTAATTATGTACATAGTGAATATTAAAATTTAAGTCTCTTATTTTCAGTTTTTTATAAATAAAATATAGGCGAATTTAAACACTATACATTTACTTGAACTACAGTTTCATGACATAAAATTACTTATGCAATTGCACAATGACTTATGGGACGTTAGGTGTTTTAATTTAGGCTTGTGGAAATTGATATTAGGAGGTTTTTTGTTTGTCTGGATACTGCTACACTAGGGTTATTTATTGTCTTAAAGTTATAAATACTTTTTTGTTATGATTAGGATTGGAGGATTGTCTAATGAATTTTAGTGTGATGATTGGTTTGGCTTCAGTTGCAAAGAAATATTAGGGCTGGACATTTACTAAACGGAAAAGTGTGCAATTTTTATTCACAGAAGGATGGGGATAAGAATTGTATTTCTAAAAAGATATAGGGGTTTTGTGAGATTAATTAGGGCTGGACAACATTATGCTACCTATATGACTGTCGAAAAATGACGTTTAGAACTATTAAAAAAAAATGTGTACGATATTTGGCATATTTTACTGTGGCGGTGTTTGGATCCATTATCCATAAATAGGGTTGCCATTTGGAAACCAGGGCAAGACGCGTGAAAACCCCGGATTTTAGAGTCCATAACCCAGACATGTCAACAGGTTTTTTTAAACATAGTCAGTGTAACAAAAAACAGTTGAAAATGTCATAAATCACCCTTTTATTTATTTTCAGACCTTAAAATTAAATTTAGTCATTCTTTATCATCATTTTCAATGTACCTAACAAAACAGAATCTTATNCGATTTCATACCTATTATTTTTTGATTATATATAAACGTAATTTACAAGCGCAGTTACTACCATATTCCAGGAAAAGACTAATCTTTACAATTCTTCTCCCTTGAAGTACATGTAGATTGATTTTGTGCATGTAATTTTGCTAAATGCCCCTATATATTTTTATTTGGTTAGATACACGTACTCATGTGCGTATGTATATATACTCATACATATACCTAATACATATCTTTACGATAGTTACATTGCGGAAATAACCATTAATAAACAGATTTTTCTATTAATATCATTAAAAATTGTCTCAAATTGTTCATTTGAATTCGTTTATTTTATTATTACGATTATTTTAATCGTACATTCCTTCTTTTCCCGTGTTCATGTAGAGAATTCCACCACTGCATGTAGTGACACCGCGTTACACAATTACACTAGGTAATTAAATACTTCTTGCCCAGATACAAACAGAATGGTAGTAAAAAGTTATATTTTTTAAAAATAGCACATTGCGTGTATCACTTTTTACATATTTCATTTTTGTTTCATTAATGTTAATAATTGCTCTTTTGACATATAATTATTGATTTAAAATATTAAATGTCTTTGAAGTTAAGAAAAGGATATGAACATCCGTAATAGTAATTGATCATTTATTAATTGAAGAATATTTATTAGAAAATTTGGAGGCAGGGTTTATCAAGTATCTCCATTTTAACTAAATTAATTTCAATAGGCAACCATTTCTTGTTATACCAAATGAAATGGCATATTTTTTACAACAAATTACACAAAACTTAAATTAACATTGATAACCAACTTGTATGCCATACGATGAATAGGCTCCAAGGTAATTTTATTTATAGACAAAAATTCGCTACCGCAACTCGAATTATAAAAACATCATAACTTCCATTAAAACTGACATAGACTCTTGAAATTTTTATCAGTTATAGTAGCGTCTTCCGATTAATTTATGTTACAAAAATGATCGAAAACGAAGCTTATTGTGAATTAAAAAAATTTGATTTAGATTTAATTAATTTATTCTTTGTTTTCTATCGTCATGCAATTTGATTCTTTTTAAACTCAAAACAATGAGATTAATCTTAATTTTGTTGAAGCGAAGACGATTAAACAAAAAAAAAAGCAGAGTAAGATAAGAATTGTACAATTTGTCCCCCTATTCCTTGCAAACACATTAAAATTCATGTATATGTTCCTGCATTGAAATAGGTTTTTTGACGTCCTCTTCATCTAATTTATGGCACGCCCGTCTAACCTTTCCGTAAGGATGTCGGTTGGATACTACTCTACTTTTAGACAAAAAAAATACTAAACAAAGTTTTTATAATTTGGGTTGCGACCGCGAATTTTTTTCTATAAATTAAACTATCTCAGAAACTGTACATTGTAGGCATACAAGTTGATTATATTATCGATGTTACCTTAAAAATTTGTGTTTTATACGGATTCATAGTAAAAATATACCATTTAAAATAACAAAATTGTCTTAAACTTGATAACCCCTATGGCCAAATCTTCAAACCTCTAACACGCCTAAAGCGTCTAACGTACCACGTAGTTTGAAGAACCTGTATATGAAAAATTTACTGGGATTTGTTGCTATATAGAATGAACGTAGAAGTACTGCGGGTGTATTTCGAAGGTGCTTACTATATCTTGTACAATGGCATAAATATTAGTGTTTTGCGTCTCCTAAAACCCTGTTGACCAAAAAGGTGTATAGAAAGTAAAATTATTTTTGGTGCTTCTGTTTGTTTAATTTTCTAGACAGCTTACCAATTGTAAACAACGTTAACAGTATTATACAAGTTGCCAATCAAGAAGTTGTGCCAATATTTATTATTTATTTTAGATACAATAGTTTATTGTGGAGCTCAATTAATTTTAAATTGTAGTTATTAAAAAATCGTTAAGTATTATTTTAGAACGTAACATGAGGCAGTGGGAAGACTGACATTTTGTAAATAACAATGGTACTAATTGACCTATTGTGAGACTAATCAAATTATATTCATGTAATCATTTCTAATAGGTATTAATAGTATTTAGAAGTATATGAATCTTATAAGATATCTCTGTTAGCGCTATTTTGTATTCATTCTTTCTGTGCCAAGTGATTTTAGTCACTTTAAATCAGAAAAAATTTAAACCTAACATGATACTCTGCATTTCATACATGATTAGTTCTTCAGTACCTTTCATTTGAATGATTTTTTTCATTTTTTCAAGATATATACATACATATATACAATATTTAAACGGTTTACCTTATATATAAATCTAATATAAATTTATTATGTGGACATTTATTTATTTTTGTTAATATTTATTTGAATTTGGACAGTTTTCATAAAAATGTGTGATGTTTTTATTTTTTAACGGTATCAATTTTGTCTAAAAGCACGTTATACACCAGAAAAAAAAATATACGTGAATTACATATGATAAGTACGGTTGATTTTCTCGAAAGTGGTCCTTGCAAAAACTTGCCAATTTTTCACTTTACTCATAGAACTGGAAACGTAAATACCACAACTATTTAAGTTAATATATATACGTATATATGTTAACTTTTATTTAAAATTTTGTGAATAGGAAGAAGTTTTAAAATTTGAGAGGAAGAAAAACCTATGCACACTGTTAATTATAATGATAATAGTCTTTCTTATAATGATTAGTAAATTACGTATATTAACATTATTTAAATTTGAGGTTTTTTACGTCCTTAAAAGTAATACTCATAAATAATATTCACCCTACCTTGCCTTCACAATGTCAAAAAAAATAAATTAAGTATATACTACTAAAAAGGATATTCTATTTACATACGTATATGTATACGTAGTCACATATTTTAAATGTAAATTTTTATATTTCTTTCAAAACATCTAGTCCAATAACCTCGTATTTTATTTCATTCATTAAAATATTGACCCATCCTCTTCTGTTTCTTCTACTTTTAAAATTACAGACCGCTCTATTTATTCCTTATATATGATAGATATACATTTTGTTTGACTTTTTTTTCATATTTGTACATCCCCCTTAATTTAACAACACCTTAATTTTTATATCGTATCTCCCAAGATCTATTTATATTCCTCTGTTCCTAATACATCCTTGTAAAGTTTCAACTCGTACATCGATGGTTCAGTCTCCTTTTCACAAATTCTGCAACTTTTTCCCCATTCATCCAGTATTAACATACTCTACATTCGTTACCTTTAAACCTTTCTATCATCTCGATTCCTTTTTTAATCTTCTAGATATTTTGGTATCCGATCCCCTTGACACCAGTCCCAGGCCAATAACTGTTCATCCTTATCTTGACCATTTCTTTTACATTCCTACACACGCCTCTCCACTCATTTTATCTTTCTCTATTTTTACCTCTCTTAATTTTGTTTTCCAATCGCATGTATCTATTTTTCTTGTCCACTGTTAACCCCCTTTTTCCCCATATTTCGCTTCTTAAATCCCCTTCTAACTTTTACAATTTTCCTCAGAATTTATCACCTCTTTTATGGTATCTTTTATCACTTTCTCACATTATTATAATATAATTATACATAACAAACTATTTTGTTTACTTTTATACGTTTTAGTTTTAATCAAAATTTATATGAGAATGGAAATTTCGTTTTACATTGTGCACCATATGCTGTTTAATATCCTTTTTATACGTATGTATCTAGATACTCTGTGTTTTACATTAAAATAATCTATACCTATACGTGTCTAAAATACTGGTCTGGAAGTATGCAAATGCTTGAATTACAGCAGTACTTTAATGCAGTAACATCGAAATTTTTTCATAAATAATATATGTAATTTTTTCATTGTCCTTAATACATCCAGAAATGAATTTGTGGAAAAAATTATTATACCCAAAATTGAAATATTTTGAATGAGATTGAAATGAAGATGGATGCTCGTACTATTAGTTAATAAGGAAAAAAAAACCTATGGAGGTATTTGTCTTATTATAAGTAGGTTAAGACATTACTTGGTTGGAATACTTTTCATGTTCGATTTCATACCTATTATTTTTTGATTATATATAAACGTAATTTACAAGCGCAGTTACTACCATATTCCAGGAAAAGACTAATCTTTACAATTCTTCTCCCTTGAAGTACATGTAGATTGATTTTGTGCATGTAATTTTGCTAAATGCCCCTATA